CTCCTCCTCCTCCTTTTCCTCCTCCTCCTCCTCCTCCTCCTCCTCCTCCTCCTTCCCCCCCCCCCGGGGGGACTGGGAGCAAGGAGGCGGCGGGAGAAGGGGGAGAGGGGAGGGCAGGAGGGGGAGGAGAGGGACGACGGAAGGGGGCACGACTCGACTCCACCCAGGATTCAGCGATGCGTCGCGTCACTTCAAGGAACAGCGAAGAACGCCCAAATTAGCATGACTCCCTGAGTCATTGCTGTCACGCATCGTGGACCTGAGAAACATCTGACCTTGGCGGGTGACTGACATTGCACCTGCACTAGCTACCGAGCACGTGGCATAGGGGGTGGAGGAGGAGGAGGAGGAGGAGGAGGAGGAGGAGGAGAAGGAGGAGGAGGGGAAGGGAGGGGGTAGAGCAGAGAGGAGGAGAAGGAGAACGATTCGTTTGAGCTCAACGCCCGCACAGCCTTGGTGAAAAAAAGACACAGCAGCGGCGGCTGGGAAACCACTGCTGGCAGCGGGGGAGACCTCACTGACCGAAAGAATACCTCCAGCAGCCCCATGGGCTAGGAGGCACTGGCCACACGACGGGCGACCGCCACGTGGCCAGCGCAAGAGAAAAAAACAGTCCAGCGCCTCAGCAGGGCATACGGTCGGGGAGGGCAATTCCTCCCCCGCGCCTGCCGCGCAACCGCAACCTGTACAGAAAGGTTGGCGGCCCCTTGAGCAACAGTCACCGCAGGAGAGACATCACCCCACGGCCGTGCGGCAGGGGGCGAGGACACCACGGGGCAGTGAGAAGGACGACGATCACCCTGCGCCTCGGATGATCGCCGCCGCCCGCGCGCGCAGCGCCCGCCGCCACTCCTCATCCCCCACGTCGTCCGCAAGACGGCCGTCGGGGGGGCAGCAGCGGCAGCCCCAGCACCAGCAGTTCCACCAGGAACCGCCGCGGCAAGGTGCACCACCTCCACGGCGGGCGCCGCGCGGTGCGCGGGGAGCAGGTCGGCCCAGCTGTCGTCCTGCAGGGGCGAGGACGGGGCCACGGCGCCCTCGACCTGCGAGCCCGCGGCAGAAGCAGGCGAGGGCGGCGACCCGCCCGAAGCGGCGGCAGCAGCAGCAGGCTGCTCCGCCGCAGCGGGTGGCGAAGGCCGCACCAGGCCGTCGGCCCAGGCGTCTTCGAACATCGCGTTGTCGTCAGCGGACTCCACGGCGGCTCGAACAGGCCGAGGGCCCGCCCCAGCAGCAGCAGCAGCAGCAGCAGCAGCAGCAGCAGCAGCAGCAGCAGCAGCAGCAGGACCCGTCACGACTGCGGCGCCCTCGACTGCCGCGCCAGCAGCAGGGAGCGCCTCCGCGGCACGCCGCTCCGCGAAGCGGCGGCGTCTCCGCCTCCGCCGCTCCGCCTTGGCCGCGGAGGCGGCAGGCGGTGCAGCAGGAGGCGCGCGAGCATCAGGGGCAGCAGCAGCGTCACGCGCGGCCGCCCGCGTCCCGGCACGCAAAAAGCGTGGCGGAGATAGCCGACCGCGCGACGGCGGCGACAGTGCGCCGCGGCGCCCCGGCGGCGACCGCGGCCCGGACGGCGGCCTCCACCAGGGAGGCGCCGAGCTGGGCCGAGGGAGCCCCTCTAGGCCCGCCCCGACATTCCGCAGCCGCGCCTCGCCGAGGAGGGGGCGCGCGCGGGCGAGGCCATGCAACCGCTTGAACCAAAATGCTTGAGCCAAAATGGCTACGGAGGAGAAGGAGGACGACGAAGACGAACAGACAAGAAGGACGAGGATGGTGCTTGGGCCCCCAGGGGGGGACGGTAGGTCCACATCCACCGTGTCCCGAGGCCCATGACAGTCGGTTTCCCGGGCGGGAGTTGTTATAAACCCCCACCTCATGAGGAGGGAGGAAGGAGCGAGGCCCACCACCACCACCACCACCACCACCACCACCACCCGAGCTCGGCCAGAGATAGGCTAGGAGTGACGGCAGAGCGGGCATCTCCCTTCTCCTCTGGGAGGACACCTCTGTACCCATACCGCTACTCCTGGGACCTCTCCGGGGGATCCCTCTGGCCAGGATTCCGAAGCGAACCCAGCTGTGGCGGCGAGGGCAGGGCAGCGATATCGATAGTTCTTCTCCTTCTGATCCTAGAGAAACACCCCCCAAAAAAGGTCAACGACATAACCTGTCGAAGCTATGCGCGGATTTCCTCGATCGGCGCCGGACCAGCTCCCTGGCGCGCGGAGCGCACCAGGGGCGGCGGCGGAAGTGCCGCCAGGAGGGCCTGGCGCCGATGCAAGAAATCCGCGCAGAGCGCCGACAGGTAGTGCTTCTGCCGTTCTTGGTTCCTCGAGAGCCCCCTCCCCCTCCCCCTGCTCCTCGTCGCCGCTCCCGATAGAAGCCCACCTCGGGCCCCTCCAGTCCCCGTTGTTTTTGTTCCTCGAGGTCCTCCTCCCCATCCCCCCCCTCCTCCTCGTCGCCGCTCCCGATGAAGTTCACCTCGGGCACCTCCACCCCCACGGCCCCCGCCGCGCAGTAGCCGCCGAGCACCAGCGGCGGTCGACCCGGGCGGTCCTCGTTGGTCGAGCGCTTGAAGTCGCGCGGAGCCTCTTCGCACTCGCGGGCTGCCCTCTGCCCCCCTCTCCGGCGAACGCTGACAGCGCCAAAGCCGCGGATCTGGGCGGGCACCCCGCGAAACGTGAGGCCACGACCGCCCGATGTGGCGACGGAGCGCACCGATGACGTACGGAATCTGGTCCCGTCGCTAACCCACGCGTCGCTGGTACATGCTTGCGCTTCTTCGACCGTCCTCCCCATCCGTCCTGCCTCCCTTCCCCCGTCCCTCAGGAGGCATCTTCTGTGAAAGCGATTCAGAACTGGCAAGCCCGACTGAAGGGCCACGAAGCTGGATCAAACCCAGGATTAAGCCCGACGAAGCTGGATAAAACAGGATTGAGCGGAACTGACTGGTGCCAGAGTTGGTCCGTTTCCGACCACGGAAACACCAGGGCCGATGCTGAATCAAACCTTCCAGGAGATGCGTCCTACACTTCCCGTCTGCCTGCCAGCCACCCAGGGGCAACCCGAGCGACAGCATTCCTTCATTCAGTCTCCCCCCCTCCCTCCCAAAGAACTATCCACTATTCCTATGTTCACTTGCTGAAGGCATTCGAATGATCTCTACTTTTCCTCTGCTCTTGCACCTGCTTGGGCAAGGTTCTGCCTGATCTGACCGGTCCCCCCATCCTTCCCTCCATCCCTCCCTCGCTCGCTCCCTACCTTCCTCCCTCCCTCCCACCTCCTACCCCGCTCTCATTACCCTCGCTGCCGACCTGGCGCCGGTCTCAGACACCGCTGCGTGTGCAATCCCCCGCTTCTGTTCTCAAGCATGGAGCTTACATGATACGCCCGCCAAGTTCCGCCGCGCGAGCTCAGATGCGTCCTAAAAAAACGTGCCGACTCCTCCATCCCTTCTCTTGTGAACAACTCATCCCTGTCGCACCCCCAGACGTGTCGGTAGGGCGGGCGGGCGTCTCGCCTGAGCCTTCCCCACCACTGGTGATCCCGAAGCTTGGCATAGCTCCAAGGATTGAGCATCCTCTTCCTCCTCCCTCAGCCCCTCCCTCAGTCCCCAGCTCCCTCATCCCTCTTTCGGGCGGAAAACATATCCGCATCCGCGGCCCAGCAGGCCTGGCCCCTGGGCCGCGACCCCGCGGATACAGAGCGTTTTTGTCGCGGATGCCCCGCGCGGAACGTGTCCGTGCGGCCGCGTGAACCCAGGATGGCGCCGCAGAATCCAAACCGCGAGGGGGGAAATCAAAACCGATACCGCTACTCCCTGGACCTCTCCCGGAGTGCGTCCTGACCAGAACTTCGAGGCGAATCCAGCGGTGGCGACGAGGGCCCCCCAGAAAGCCCAAGAAGGCGAGAACGAGAGGAGGGTACCGGTATGGGTACCTTCCCCTCCTCTGGGCGACGGCGCGGATACGGATCTGGCCGAACCCTGGCGGCGCCGCTTGGCGGCGCGCAGAGGGGGGCAAGGGGAGGGGGGAAGGCTTCTCAGAAGCACCGCGCTCCGCGCCTTCTGAGGGCAGCCTCCTCCTCAGAAGCCTTCCCCAGGGAAACGAGCTCTATACACCGACGTTTTTGTCCGACCCTGTGCTGACATTCGCACAGGAACGCAGATCCTGGTGTATACGGGATCCTGGTGTATACATGTCTCGTTGCTTCCCTTGGGAGACGGGGGAGAACCATGCACCACACACACACACACACACACACACACCACCCCGACGTCGTCCCCGACCCTCAGAACGTCGTGGGATTGGGACAAAGCCCGCCAGCGGCAATGCCTATATGCTCCACTTGCCGATTCCCCCCCCCCTCCCCATCCCCTGCCCCCCCCCCTCGGCGCGTGGCTGAGCCGCGGCGGAGCGGCGGAGCGGCGCCCTCGCGCCTTGGGCAGCTGCAGGCACGCGAGCAGCCGGGAGGTGGGCACGGCGCCGGCCACGGGCTGCTCGCCCTCGGCCCGCTGCCAGGGCTTCAGCTGCGCGACCTGCGCGCCCGAGGGCGGGAGGCGCCGGAGGCGGGCACGCTCGCGCCGCGGAGGTCCGAGGGCCGAGGCTCTCGAGGCTGTCTCGCGAGGGCTCGAGGCTCGAGGGTCGAGGGTCGAGGCGCTCTGTCGCCCCCCAGGGGCCCTCCTCGCCGCCGCGGCTGGACGCCGCTCGTCGCCGTCGGCCGCGCCAGCGCGCAGCCGGCGTGCCGACACGACGAAGTCAAAGTCATTCGCAAACCTGCGGCTTCGTCAGGAATTCAACATCCGCCGACCATGTCGGCGTGGGTCAGGAGGGGAACGTCACGAGAGAGACCATCCAGGACTGTACACCACCTGTCCGGCCCCGCCGCCCTGGCCAAATGCCAGAGGGAAGGGGGGTTGAAAGACCGAGCGCGGGCAAGGACGCGGGCTTGTCCGTCCGAGTCGTCCTCTCCGTCATTCGTTGGTCGTCGTCTCTGCCGGCTCCCTTCCCTGCGGCCCCCACTTCCTTGAGCCCGTTCCCGCTCCCCCCATTTCCTGGGCCCTCCTCCCCAAGCGCGCCAGCCAAAGCAAAATTCCTCCCTTTGATCCCTCCCTCGTCGTAATTCACTCGAGGGGAAGCCCCCTCCCCTGGATCCCTCCCCAGTCAGGTGGGGGGGTCCGGGGGGGCCCCGGGGGGGAAGGGGTCCCAGGGGGGGTCGCGGGGGAGATACGGCTCCCCCGGGGGGATCCCGGGGAGGGGTTCCCTGGTCCCACAAAAGCACCAAGACGGGCCAGGAGTACTCGAAGAGGCCCCCAAGACGGTCCAAGAAGGCCCCGCATCGCCGAACGATCTGTCCAAGACGCCTGTACGGCTTCCTGAAGGCCCATGCGGCCTGCAAACCGCCCCCAGAAGCCTCCAGAAGCACCCCCAAGTTGGCCCCCTGAGGCCTAATTCATCAACTTCCCTTCGGTTTTGGCCTTCCCCTCTTCCGCCTCCCGACGCTCTACGACAGCCCCCCAAGATAGCCCCAAGACGGCCCAAAGTCCTCCAAGAGGTTCCCACAAGGGCCCACGAAGGCTCCAAGACGGCCCGAGACGCCTCCAAGACAGGCCCAAGGGAACCCAAGACGGCTCCCAGAGGGTGCCCAGACTGGACAGCCGAACGGACCCCTCGAGCCCTCGCCCCCGAGAAGCTCTCAGGAGGCCCTAAGACGCCTCCAAGACGCCCCAAGAAGCCAGGCCCCCGAAAGAGCTCCGAAGAGGCCCCGACAAGCATCCCCTCCGCCACTTCCAGGATCGCCCCAAGAGGCCTCCAGCTGGTCCCCAAGACGGCCCCACAAGGCCCCTAAGATAGCCCACCGGCCTCCAAGACGGCGCAAATCAGCCCCCAAAGGCCCTCAGGAGGCCCCAAGAAGTACCCAAGAGGCCCCAGAGAGGCCCCAAGAGGCACCCCAAAAGGCACCCAGGAGGCCCCAAGGGGCCCCCAAGGGGCCCCCAAGAGGCCTTCCAAGAGGCTCCAAAATTGTCCCCAAGGGGCACCCAAACTGTTCCCAATAGGTCCCCGAGAACGCTCCGAAGAGACCCCAAGAAACATCATGGACTCTGACTCACCATCCAAGCACAGTGGCGGGATGGGCCGAAGGCCATTCGATAGAGAGAGAGAGAGAGAGAGAAAAAAAAAAAAAAAAAAAAAAAAAAAAAAAAAAAAAAAAAAGGAGAGAGACGGAGAGAGAAAAAAAAAAAAAAAAAAAAAAAAAATGTGTGTGTGTGTGTCTGTGTGTGCATTTCTGCGGACCACACGACGCCCCCGCGCGGGGTCACCATTACGCGTCGCCGAAATGAAAAGGAGGGACACATACATCCGACGCAAGCCGTGATGTTTGTCACAACGCGGCCCCCCCATGGATCTGGACCCCTTCCTGGGACGGGCGTTTCATCACGAGCCACATGTTTGGAAGTCCTGGGGGCCAATGCGGACCCCAGATGCCGAACTTTGAAAATAAAAAAGAATTGCGGTATCAACAGAGGCCAAAATCATTGCTTTTCATTGTTTTTTTCGAAGTTTTTGGCCTTCTCGCATTTCTCGGCTTCCGACGCTCCAGGACGGCGCAAGCGTTCCCCAAGAACGCCCCAGGACGACCCAAGAGGCCCCCAAGTGAGCCCCAAGACGGCCCAAGAGGGCCTCAAGACGGCCCAAGAGGGCCTCAAGACAGCTCAAGAGGGCCCCAAGAGGCCCCCAAGAAAGGCTCCAGACGGGGACCACGAACCTAAAATTCTAGCTTTCCGCCCCAAAAGGCACTCAGGAGGCCCCAAGGGGCCCCCAAGAGGCCCCAAGAGGCGCCCAAGAGGCCCCCTAGAAGTCCAAAAGAGGCCCCAAATGGCCCCCAAACAGCTCCCCAGAAGCATCCAAACTCCCTCCCGCAGGCCCCCGAGAGGATTCGCACGACGGCGCCAATCCGTCGCCGCCCTTGTTTTCCGCGTCGTTCTGGCACACACGATTTTTCCGCCTTCACGGCGCGGAAGCCGTTCCAAGATGCCTCCAAGACCGCCCTAAGACGGCCCCATAGGCTCCCAAAAAGCCCCCAACACGGCACAAGAGGCGCCCAAAACAATCAAAAAGGGCTCAAAGACGGCCCCAAGAGGGACCCGAAAGGGGGACCACGAAACGAACATTCTAGCCGTCCGCCCCTAGAGGCTCCCAGGAGGCCATAAGAGGCCCCCCAAAAGCGTCCAGACGCCCCCGAAAAAGGCCCCCACGAGACCCCTCCAAGAGGCCCCAAGGGGCCCCAAGAGGCCCCCAAATCGGCTTCGATATTCTATGGCTCGACCTTCACAGCGCGGAAGACCCTCCAAGATGCCTACAAGACCGCCCTAAAACGGCCCCATCGGCTCCCAAATCGGAAGAAACACTTCGAACCTTCGGCCCCAAGACGCCCCCAACGTGCCCGAGGGACCCCCAGGACCCCCCCAAGAAAAACAAAGGGGTCGGCGGTGTGGCGTAAGCCTAAGAATGAAAAAAGAGTTGCAAGATCAACATAACACATTACCCTGACGGAGAACCCAACCATTAGCAGTTCCGAATTACACAAGAGAGATGACAAGGAGGGGGGCCTTCGGCGAGTCTCCCTATGGGGCCACGAAACGTGTGACGAATGGGTGCGGTGCCGCTATGCGGACTGTGCCACAGGGGCCTTCGGCGGAACTCCTTATGGGGTCACGAAAGGAAATGGGCGCGGTGCTGCCATGCGGTCTTATGACGAGGGCCTTCGGTATAGTTCCCTGTGGGGCCACGAAACGCGTGTGCCGCAATGGGTGCGGTGCCGCTATGCGAACTGTGCCGCAAGGGTGTCCGGCGGAGCTTCCGATGGGGCCACAAACGTGTGAGGGGTGTGCCGAAATGAGCGCGGTGCCGCAACGCGGACTGTGCCACAATGGCATTCGACGGAGCTCCGTTTTAGGCCACGAAGCGTGTGAGGGGTGTGCCGAAATGAGCGTGGTGCCGCTGCGCGGGCTGCGTCACAATGGCCGTCGACGGAGCTCCCTTTAGGCCACGAGGGGTGTGCCGAGATAGGTGCGGTGCCGCCATGCGGACTGTGCCACTGGGGCCTCAGGTGGAATTCCCTGTGGGGCCACGAAACGAGTCAAGGGGTGTGCCACTGTGGGCACGCGGAGAGCAGAGGCAGGGGTGGGAAGAGGGAGGAGGAGGAGGAGAAGGCGGAGAGGAGAGGAGAGAAGAGGAGACGCGGGGCGCTGCCTCTTCAAAACGAGGACCCAACACCACAGCATGGTTGGTGAAACTATCGTCGTTGTGGGTATCGCGTCGGTGGGTCTCCTTATGGGGTCACGAAACGTGTACAGAGTGTACCGACATGGTGCGAAGCCGCCATGCGGGCGCTGCCAGTGTGGCCTCAGGTAGAGCTCCCTATCAGGAAGTACAAAACGTGTGAGAGGTGTGCCGAAATGGGTGGGGCGACCACATGCGAACATGGCCGCTGTGCCATCAGGTGTAAATCCCGGTGGGGCAATGAAACGTGTAAGGGGCTGCGGGGCTTGCCGAGACGAGCGCGACGCCTACACGCGAACGTCGCCGCTGGGGCCTTCTTCCTCCTCCAGCAGCAAGGCGCGCAGCGCGCCCCGATCGGCTCCTGCGGCCCGCAGCCGGCACCGAGCCTGCTTGTCCCAGCGCTGGCAGCCGGCAAACGGCCACCGCCTCAGACTGTCCGATGCAGGCTCGCCAGGACTCTGCCTCACGCCGACAAGGCCCCGCAGGGCTTGACGCCGACTCGGCAAGTCGGAGTCTCCAAAAAGAGGGCCGCAACGCAGTCCAGCACGCCCTGCTCGTCGTCAGAGAAGTCCACGGCGCGGGCCGCACCCTCTGCGAAGAGGGCGCCTAAGTTGCCAGGCGACACGCCAAACCTCACAGCCAAGGCCACGGCAGCCGCGGCAAGCGACCGACCCGCAGCTGGGCAAGCGCCGCCAGATCCAGCCGTCCCCTCACCAATCCCTCCACGGCCATGGAGGACTGGGAGGTCGTCAGCAAAGCTGTCGTCCAGCTCCTCCAGCTCCTCCGTCGCGTCGTCGTCCACGGCAGCGGAGCCCGCCGCTTCATCGCTATGACGTGCAGCACCAGGCGCAGGCCGCCCGCGGCGCCGCCGCGGCTGCAGCCCGCAGCCGCCGCCCTCAGACCCGATCATGCGGTCCACGTCGTTCTCCATGCCGCCGACGACGAGCGCCTGCACGTGCCACTTGGCCCGAGGGTGCGCGCACTCCATCAGCCACCACTTCGGCCGCCTGCTCACGCCTGCCACCGCGGCCGCGCGGGCGCCGCCGCCACCTCCGCACAGCAGGCGGCCCTGCCTCCGCCGCCACTGAGGGAAGGGTGGAGGCCGCCAGCACGGACACCGCCGTGCGCAACATCCCCTCAGATGCCCGCGGCAAGCGAACGGCAACGGGCTGCCCGCCTGCGACCGCAAGGCCTCCGGCGGGCGCGCCACGCGGCTATCCTTCGTCATACCTGGCAGCAGCCCAGCGGCGGCGCGCCCCCTGCAAGGCCGAGGCGCCCAGCGGCACGGGGTCTGGACCGGTGGGTACTGTCGCCGCTGGGGCCTCAGGTGGAGCCCCCTGCAGGGGCCACGAAACGTGTGAGGGGTGTGCCGAAACGAGCGTGACGCCCACATGCAAACGACGCCACTCGGGCCTTAGGTGGAGCTCCTCATGAGGCCATGAAACGTGTGAGGGGTGTGCCGAATTGGGCGGGGCGGCCACATGCGAGCATGGCCACTGGGGCCTCAGGTGGAGCTTACCATGCGGCAACATGCGAACATGACCACTGGGGCCTCAGGTCGAGCTCCCTGTGGGGCCACAAAACGTGTGAGGGATGTGCCGAAATGGGTTGGGCGGCCACGTGCGAACACGCCCACTGGGGACTCAGGTGGAGCTCCCTATGGGGCCACGAGGCATGTGAGGAGTGTACCGAAATGGGCGGGGCGGCCACCTGCGGACTTGGCCGCTGAGGCCTTACGCGGGGCGCTGTCTCTTCAAAACGCAGCGCCCCCTTCGCGACGCGAGGACGCCGGGAGGGCGGGCGGAGGCAGGCCCTCCCCCCCCCAAGGCCAGCTCGCGGAGCTGCACGAGGCACGCCGTGTCGGCGCTCCTCGCGGGGTCGGCAGCAGAGCGCGCCGCTGGCCGCCGCTGGCCCGTGCCCCCGTCTCCCCCGGGTCCCCTCCCTCCCCGCCACATCCCTCCCCGGGGGGGGAGCTCACTCTACAACTGCACAGCATGACCCTCTCCTGACGTGAACGGGAAGCGCGTGAAAGCGAAGAGCTGCTCAAGAACGTGGAGCAACATCACGGTCAAATACAATGCAGGCAAGCTTCCTGAACGTCCACGAGGGATACATTTGGACACGCGCTCCCAGAACATTCACATGTCTGTCCCTGGTTATCCTCCTCACTCCTCTGTACGCGTCCAAGTTTATCCGTCTCCCCCCACTTGAACCATCGACTTTATCGTCATCATCGTCACCATCACCATCAACATCACCAACCCTAGCACCATCATCATCATCATCATCATCATCATCATCATCATCATCATCATCATCATCATCATCATCATCATCATCATCATCATTCTCCTCCTCCTCCTCCTCCTCCTCCTCCTCCTCCTCCTCCTCCTCATCATCATCATCATCATCATCATCATCATCATCAGCAGCAGCAGCAGCAGCAATATCACCGCCAGCATCGCAATCACAATAAGCATCTACATCACAACATGACGCTTTCGAAGACCCATCCGACGGCCTGCTTCGAAGATGGTTCGGGCGAAACGGTTACTGCTGAACATAAGTGTTGAAAAGCCTGGTGTTTCAATGTGTTCGCCGTTTTGCCCGTCTTTGGGTCATCCCAACCAAAAAAGGAAGAAGGCATAGATAAGCACCTCTTCTGAAATCAAAATTGCTCGAGGATATCTCACGCGAGAGCCTCATGTTCGAAGATCCGACGATCAAACCAGCGATTTTAACATCCCCATCTTCTGAGGATGTATCCAGAGAAACGCTCCTTCTGAAGAATCGAGGTTGTAAACGATAGCTTCCGACACATCATTTGTTCGAGAATGTCTCAGGCGAAGGCCCCCATTTTCGAAGATCCGACAAATACGCCAGCGAATCAACATCCCCATGTTGTAAATAAGGCGTCTCGAGCGATAGCCTATGTTCTGAGGATGTCTCAAGCGAAGGCTTCACGTTTGAAATAAGACGTCTTAAAGCAGGTCGTTCAGCATGCCAAGTTTTCGAGAACACCTTTGGCGAGAGCCCTGTTTTCGAAGATCCGAAGATTTCGCGACCGATTTCAACATCCCCATTGCGTGAGGATGTCTCAAGCGAAACACTCATGTTGGCATAAGACGTCTTGAACGGGAGCCCCCAACATCTCCATTGTGCGAGGATGTTTCAGGCGAAACGCTAATTTCCCAAATCCGCCGCTAGAGTCCGGAGGGGCAATCGAGCCACTACTCCCCCTCTGGACTCCACCACTTCATAAAAATTGTCACCTCCGAGCCCGCGACCAACTTCAATCGTGCGATTCTTCGAGTCTAAGCGCGCTTCCCGTCATCCGCCACGTCCCGGCCACGGAACGACCCCGCCACCACTCCTCTCCTGGACCCCTCCACTTGATAAATAGTTCTCCTCTGGGCCCCTATACAGCGTCCATCGCGCGACTCTTCGAGTCTCAGCGCGCGTCCCGTCATCCGCCACGACTTGATACAGTCAACCCGTATAACAACGATGTACAATATGGATGCAAGGGCCTTGGAAGGCCATGTCGACACTTTTCGAGCGGGGAGGGGCCAGCAAAAAAGACCAAGAATGGGCCGAAGGAGAAGACTGCATGGACAATCTTGGAAAAACGGCTCATCCTTACTATGCGGGTTGACTGTAACGTGCAATCCCGCACCGTATCCATGTTAATACTGTGGAGTTCCAGATTCAGCTGGACGGTCCCGCTCGCTCCTCGCTCCTCGGAGGCGCTTCCCGCCATCCGCCAGCGGTGTCCGGAATGCGATCCGTGCCCCTTAGATAGCCAAAGGACTGATTTATCAAAGAATGGAGAACCAACGGTCCTCGGGGATCTTCTGACCCGGGTCAATCCAGACCCGGGTCAGTCAAGCCTGCAGGATCCTGCAAGCTCCTGCAAAATCCTGCACCCAAACCCGGGTCAATGCGAAGGATCCTGCAGGATCCTGCAGGATCCTGCACCCAAACCCGGGTCAATGCGACCCTGGCCCTGCAGGATCCTGCAAGGTCGGGGCGCTCTGGCTGACCCCCGTTTGCACTGACCCCCGTCTCGAGGCTCCCGAGGTCCACGCCAGAGGTGCTTCCCGTCATCCGCCACCGTGCCTTGTGCACATTGCGGCGTGAAAGAATGCCAAGGTCTGCCTGGTCAGGGGTATGCAATGTGCTAAGGCCCCACCTCTTGGACGCGCTTCCTTGCACGCACCGCCATGAGTTGGCTCGCACCTCCCTGGCGCTTTCCAAGGCGTCGAAGATGCCCAAGATGGCTTCCGAGATGGCCAAAGCAGGCCACCAAGATGGCCGCAGAGCGCTCCAAGACGGCCCAAGATAGCTTCAAGACGGCCCACACAACCGTCGAGGCGTCCCAAGAGAGCCCCAAAAGCCTTCCCAGTAGGGCCTCGAGAGTCATTTCAAAGTCATGGAGTACCCCAAGCGTTTTTCAATGTGTTTCGGGTTGTCGCCTTTTCGAGCTTCGGGCACTCCACGACGACCCAAGAGGCCCCGAAGACTCCCCCGAGACGGCTCAAGAGGCCCCCAAGAGAGCTCCAAGACGGCCCAAGGGGCTCCAAGACAGCCCAAGAGGCGCCCACGACTGCCCAAGAGGGCCCTAAGACGGCCCCTGAGAAGGGCCTCAAAGCGGGAACACCACTCCCTAGCAGGCCCCCTTGCCTTCTCGAGCAGCTCACCCAGAATGCTGCGCTGGCACGGTGGCGGAACTGCCGGAGGCAGCTGGATACTACTCTCACCTCTCCCCCGCAGCCGGCCTGAGGATCGCGCGCCCTCCTCCACGTCTTGTTTTTGACCCGCAGGATGGGTCCGAGTTGGTTTTCATTATGCATCTGTCCCATCCGAACGTTCTCGGTCCTCCCAAACTGGTGCTAACGCTGCAGTATGGGCCTCATTTCAGGATGCGAGGAGGAGAAGGGAGGAGGAGGAGGAGGAGGAGGAGGAGGAGGAGAAGGAGGAGGAGGAGGAGGAGGAAGGGAGAGGAGGAAGAGAAGGAGGAGGAGGGGGACCAGAGCAAATCCCAGATGCACCAGCGATGCTGCAATACACACTCCCATCCCAAGTCCCCTCCCCATACGTCCATACAAGATGTCCTTGACACTACAAGAAGCGCCCACCTTGAAAGATCAGCACAAATTGTGCCTGCCAATTGGAGAGGGCGTCGTTCTGCCTCAGTACAGTGTTACCTGCGTTGAAGCGTCGGGTATTCAAAATTGAAAACTCTCAAGCGAGATCCCCATGTTGGAAATATCCGCCCTCGTTCCTTCTCACTGGTGGCGCCAAAGAAAAGGCAAAACGATCTGCGCTCCATTACCAAAAACGATTGCCATCTGTTCCAGCGAATGCGCTCGACGCTAGGCCGATAGCTAAACTTTGAAAAGGAGCCACCCTCCATCCCTGAAATTGCTCGAATACTTTGAGAAGAATGTGCGCGGCGCCATTGCGCGAGCCCCAGTTTTGAAGACGCCCCTATCCCCATCATTTGAAACTGTTCAAAACAAATGAGCGCGGCGCTATAGCGAGAGCCCCATTTTGAAAAGGAACAGACCTCCAACATCGTAGCTGCTGCAAGATGTTAAGACGAGTGTGCGCGGCGTTATGGCGACAGCAACAGTTTGAAAACGGCACGCCCTCCATCTGTGACACGGTTGCAGTGTTCAAGCCTCGTGATAACAAATTGTGAAGGCAGTTGAGGCGAGACGTCGGGCCGCCCTACACCAACACATCCCGGGATGCAACAGTAAGGAGCTACTTCTGAGTAGAATGGGTGGAGGAGGAGGAGGAGAGGAAAGAGACCCCTTGTCCCCCCTCCCTCCTCCCTCTTCTCCCCTGCCCCCTACCTCTTCCCCTCCGCATTCCCCGAAGTACTCGCCCCCCGCACTTCCCTCGTGCATCCCAAACTGCCCTCTGGTTCTGGCACCACACATTCCGCCATCCCTAGTGAGAGCCACAGAAGGGCCGACGATCATCAACGATGTACTTGTGTCCGTTGCCTTTAATGCTCGATTCGTCATGTCGCCTCTGCTATGTGTGCTTGTGTGCGCGGCCATGCCAGATTGTATTACCACGTCGCATGCACCACGTCAAAAGGACATGCAGAACTGTTACCGATGATTGACGTCAACCAGGATGCCAGATGCTTGAAGTGAAACATCAGGAGATGACCAACACAGTAAGAGGGTGTGATTTGTGGTACCTTCTTTCGGGCGTATATTTGAGAGAAAAACGTACCGCGCGGCGACCACTCCCAATACAGAAACAGCCTGGTGATCCCAGTTGCATAAGCAGATGATATACCCAGTCAATCGTGGGCTTCGACTTCGAGTCGGATTCGGGCTCGTGTTTCGGATTCGGACTCTGACGCGGACTCTGACCCGGGCATGAGCATGGACTCGCTCTGGATATTGGCTCGGATATGGTTTCGCACTCGGATTCAGACTCGGACTCGCACACGGACATGGACATGGGCATGGAGCTTGATTCGCCATGGATGCCTACTCGGCGTCGGGTTCGGACTCGGAGTCGGATGTATTCCCTTCCCGAAACAGCTGTTCTATAGAGGGCTGGAACGGGGGGTGGGGGGGGAGGGGGGGGGGGGGCAAAATCGGCGACTTGATGGACTCCCGTATGGTCTCCAACATGGTCTCCCGCAAGGTCTCCCGCATGGTCTCCCGTACGGTCTCCCCATGTGGTCTCCGGCATGGCCTGCCGTGCGGTCTCCCGTGTGGTCTTCCGTGTGGTCGCCCGTATGGTCTCCCGTACGATCTCCCGTATGGCCTCCCGTACGGCCTCCCGCTTCGCGTCCCGAATGATCTCCCGTCTGGCCTCTCGCCTGGCCTCCCGCCTGGCCTCCCGCACGGTCTCCCGCAAGCTCAGCCGTCTGGTCTCCCGCACGGTCGCTCGTGAGGCCTCCCGCGTGGCCTCTGGTCTCCCCGATGGTCTCCCACGTGGCCGCCCAGGCGGTCTCCCGCGTGCTCTCCCGCGGGTGCAACACGACGCAGTGCTACGTGCACGCTGCACGGAGGCGGTTCAGAGCCTCCCGCCAGGGTGCAGTCTTCGGACTCGGTTCTTTCGATTCAGCTTTGGAATCAGATTCGGCATCCGGCACGGACTCAGATTCGCAGTCCGGCCAGGGCTGAGATTCAGATTCGGCGGGGAGGATAAGAAGAAGGACAAGGAGAAGGAGCAACAGAATGACGAGGACGAGAGGGAGAAAGAGTACCAATACGAGGCCCGAGAAAGAGAGAGGGAAGACAAGGAGGAGGAGACAGGGGAAAGGGAGAAAGGAGAAGGAGGAGGAGAAGCAAAGGATGAAGGAGGAGGAGAAGGAGGAGGAGGAGGGAGGCGAGGGGGGGAGGAGGAGCAGGAGGGAGGAGGAGGAGGAGGAGGAGGAGGAGGAGGAGGAGGAGGAGGGAGGGGGAAGAGAAGGGAGGGAAAAAGGGATGAGGAGGAAGGAGAAGGGAAGAGGAGAAAGGAGAAGGGAGGAGGAGGAAGGAGAAGGGAAGAGGAGGAGGAGGAGTAGGAGTAGGAGGAGGAGGAGGAGGAGGAGGAGGAGGAGGAGGAGGAGGATCCCCTCTGCTCCACTCCCCTCCACCCGCGGGGCGCTCCTGCGGCCCTCGCGCACGGCCCTGCCCAGGCCCCCCTCCGCCCCCGCGCTGTCGAGGGCGAACTCCAGGGAGGACTTGCTGCCCCCCTCGGCGCCGTCCACCGACGCCGCCCCCGCCTGGCAGGGGCGGGGGGGGGGAGGGGGGGGGGGGAGCGAAGGGAGGAGACGCAGATACGAACACCGCTGCGGCAGGAGGGCCGCGGGACGAGCTCGGGCTCGAGGTCTTCGGCCGTCTTCTGCGGCTTGTCGGCCCTCCGCGGTCTTGACGCCTCGGGATGCCTTCGGTGGCTGCGCCTCGCCGAGAGCGTCCCGGGGGGGCGGGATCGTCCCGAACGGCCGCCACAGAGCCGAGTCGAAAACCAGGCAAGGGGCTGAGGGAGGAGGAGTCGTCAGAGGAGGAGAAGATACCGACACCGCGGCTCGTCCCTCAGCGCCACGGCCGGATCCGCCCCAGAACCCTGGCCGGAGCGCACCCCAGGAGAGGACCGAGAAGCAGCGGTGTCGGCGCATCTTTGTCCCCCCAACTTGGGGGAGGATCGGAGAGGTGGAGGAAGGTCATCAAGGGGCCCTGGGACACACAAATATATGGACACAAATAACCGGATTCCCCATATTTCCCAATATTTTCTATGTTTTTCGTCTTCCCTCCCACTTCACATATTTTCGCCTATTTTCCTGGGAATCGACGATGGATTGTGTCTGTGTGTTTTTGTCACTCCTGAGATCAGGGGGTGGAGGGGGACGAGGACGAAGACGAGGGAAGACCGCGGGGCACGACGGCACGGCAGGCGGGGCCAGATGGCGCGCGGGGGGCGGCGCGCCCACCTCAAGGAGCTCCAGGGCTCGGCCGGCGAGCGCCTCGGCACCGGGGGGGGGGGAGGAGGGGGCGGATCGGGGGAGGAGGGAGGGTGTGGAAGCAGGGTGGAGGGTGGAGACAGTGGAGGGAGGAGGGAGGAAGGAAGACAGAGGAGGGAGGAGGAGGACAAGGAGGGTGGAGGAGGAAGGAGGAGCGGAGGAGGGGGAGGGAGGAGAGGAGGAGGAGGAGGAGGAGGAGGCGACGGAGGAGAGGAGGAGGAGGGGAGCGAGGAGGAGGGAGGAGGAGGAGGAGGAGGAGGAGGAGGAGGAGGAGGAGGAGGAGGAGGAGGAGGAGGAGGAGGAGGAGGAGGACAACGACGACGACGACGACGACGTCGACGACGACGACGACGACGACGACGACGACGACGACGACTAACGACGACGACGACGACGACGACGACGACGACGACGACGACGACGACGACGACGACTAACAACAACGAGGACAACGAGGAGGAGGAGGAGGAGGAGGAGGAGGACGACGACGACGACGATAACGAGGAGCAAGGAGGATGGAGAAGGGCCATGATAGGGGAGATGAGAATGGAGGCACGGGGGAGGAAAGATTCATCAGGAGTAGCGAGGAGGAACGAGGAGCAGGAGGGAAGAGGAGATGGTGACTCGAGGGACCTGGACAGGCCCGAACGCGGGCGCAAAGGTGTCAGCGGCCGTGACGGGGGGAGAGAGGGGCACGCGGATCAGCACCTCAAAGATGGGGGCCCTGGGTCGAGGAGGACCTGGACGCTGAAAGCTCCGCCCGGGAGCCTCCTCCCGCTCTCGGGGCCCCACCCCTCCAGGGCCCCGCCTCTTCGAGACCGCCGAGCGGGCGCGGAAAGTCAGCAGGCTGGTGAGGGATCAAAAAACGGCACCGATGCCGCCGCTCCCTGTCGACCAGGAAAGCAAACGACACCACCCACCTGCGGCCCCGCGGGCCTAAGCATACAGTGCCGGCGCGGCCGCAAGAAACCCTCGCAAGGATCCCAATCCTGAAAACCCGCGCGCGGGGTGCACCCGAGGGGAAGCCCAGAGCACCCTGAACGCAGCAGCTTCTTCAACGGCTGCGGGAAGTCACCGCACAGCGCGCGGAGCGAAGAAACCCTGGGTAACCTCACGAAAAGCATATGGTTTCTTGATGCGCGCCCCCACTGTGTGCCATGAGTTCTGGCTTGGGCTTTTGCGTGGCACACGCCACGGCGCCCGATGGGCCGTAGCGCAACATGGAGGGCCGCAGGTGGGGTGGTGCCTCTGATTTTGGGCGGCCCCGGACCTCTCCCGAGGCGAAGCCTGGCCAGAACCTCGGGGAGGAGCTGGCCGAGGCGACGAAGGCTCCCCGCCCGGGACGGGGGCAGCGGCCTCGGTGGTCACTCTCTCTGCCCCCGGCACGCGAAGCGGAGCGAGGCCCCGTCCCTGGGTCAGAAGAGCAAAGGACGGCATGAACAGAAGCCGCGGGAGCTCCACGCGGGTTTCTGGCATCGGCGCTGGACCCCCCCCCTCCCTGGCGCGCGGAGCGCGCCAGGCGCAGCCAGGGGGGCCCAACGCCGACCCAGGAAGTCCGCGGGCAGCTCAGGGAGTTTGTGCTTGTGCCGCTTCTGCTTCTCCGACGCCAGCGGCCAGAGCAGCGCAGCGGCATTCTCCCTCCTCCTCCTCCGGCGGCACGCTGGGCGGAACCAGGCCGCCAGCCCAAGGGGGGGGGGGCTCGCATCCGTATCCGCGCCCTCGCGGTCTGCACTCCGGGGCGCGATGGGGCGCGATCCCGCGGATACGCGGTCGCACGGATACGTTCCGCGCGGGGGGCATCCGCGAAAGCACGCCCCGCATCCACGGGGGCGCGGCCCACGGGCCAGGCCCGCGAGGCCGCGGATACGGACACGCTTTTGACTACCTACCAGACCACCCCAACCCAACCCGAAGACCCGAATTTCGGGTTGGGGGGGGGTAAGGGTTCCATGCGTGTTTTTTCGATGTTCCGCGACCCCCCCCAACTAGAAATGGAGGGTAAATCGAGACCTTCGGGTTGGGTTGGGGTGGTTTGGTGGGTGGAGAGCTTTCGCCCACGACCAAGCCCGCGAGGGGGGGGGGGGGCGCCAGCACGCGCGACCCGAACTTCTCCGCCACGCACGCCGCCGGGTCCCCCAGCACGAGGGCGTGCAGCACCGCGACGAGGTGGCGGAGCGAGGGCCGCGCCGCGGCGGCGGCCGACGCCGCAGCGTGCACAGCGCCTGCGCTGCCGAGGCCGCGCGGGCGGTGCTCCTCCTCTTCCGCCTCCTCCTTCGCCTCTGCCGCCTCCGCCTCCGCCTCCGCCTCCGCCTCCTCCTCCGCCTCCTCCTCCTCCTCCTCCTCCTCCTCCTCCTCCTCCTCCTCCTCCTCCTCCTCCTCCGCCTCCGCCTCCTGCCGAGGCCGCGCGGGCGGTGCTCCTCCTCTTCCGCCTCCTCCTTCGCCTCTGCCGCCTCCGCCTCCGCCTCCGCCTCCGCCTCCTCCTCCGCCTCCTCCTCCTCCTCCTCCTCCTCCTCCTCCTCCTCCTCCTCCTCCTCCTCCTCCTCCTCCTCCTCCTCCTCCTCCTTCTCCTCCGCCGCCTCCGCCTCCTCATCCACCTCCTCCTCCGCCGCCTCCTCCTCCTCCGCCGCCTCCTCCTCCTCCGCCTCCTCCTCCCCTTCCACCCCCTGAGATCTGGGCGTTGCCATGCTTGTCACACGGGGAGCTTCCGCCGAGTAGCAGGCCGCGGGACCATCACAAATCGATCGGGCTCGCTCGGAAAGTGCATCAGAAAAAAAGATGACGTCTGGGGCTCCTGTTGCGACCGTCGTTTCCTCAACGTCGGATCTCAGGGCCCCCCTCCCGTGTCCTACCAACCGTCCGCCTCCACCTCCTCCTATCCATCCTCCTCTGCCACCTCATCCTCCCCATCATCTTCCTGCTCATCCTCCTGGCTGTGTGCCGCTTGAGCGGGTCTGTGTCCCAGCACTTGGTCATATCCCATCGCGCGGAGTCGCGAAAGTCCCAACAGCGACGCTGACCGCGGTCGTGCCCGCATCTTCGGGACTGCAGCCGTCCTCCTCAGCGTCCTCATTCTCCTCTACCTCCATCCTCCTCACTCCTCCACCTCCTCCTCCTCCTCCTCCTCCTCCCTCCTCCTCCTCCTCCCTCCCTCCCTCCCTCCCTGCCTCCCTCCCTGCCTCCCTCCATACGATCCATCCATCCATCCATCCATCCATCCATCCATCCATCATCCTTCTCCCTCCCTCCTCCTCCCTCCTCCCTCCTCCCTCCTTCTCATCCTTATCATCCTCCTGCTCGCTATCCTTCTTCCACCCTGCGACAAAGAACACTCTCTCTCTCGGCAGTGACACCGTGCAGCTGTGAGGGGAGGCTGCAATGAGAAAGGCCGAAGAGAGAGAAGCACTGAACAGGATGATGAGAAGTTGGAGGATCGGACGGGGGAAGAGGAAGGAAGGGGAAAGGGAACAGGGAGAGGATGCACAACTCACCTCCCCACCCCGTGCTCTCCTTTCCCCCTCCCCCTCACTACCCTCCCTCTTTGGCACGCCCAAGATGGGTACGGAATCGGCCACCGTACCCCCATGGCACGTTGAGGCGTGCTCAAATGCCAAGTGCTGTCTGGTAGGGTTTCTGTGATCTTCTAAGGGACCCCCCCTCTCCCCGTCGCACCTCAAGAGGCCCTCAAGAGGTCTCAAAGCTGTCTCCAAGAGCCCGAGAGGCCTCCCACGAGTTCCAACGAACACCCACTAGGCTCATAACCCACAACCCAGGCACGGTGGCGGGACTTGCCGTAGGCAGCTGGATCCGCCGCCCCCTGCTTGCAGGGGTGCACGGCGTGCTGGACGATTCAGGTTTTGGTTTTGGTTCTTTTTCTAAAAGAACTCCCCAGTGGGCTCCGGCACGTCCCGCCGGGGTCCCGGGAGGAAGCCGAAAGGACCTCAATCCAGAAAAAAATCCTCCAAAAAACGGCCGTTTCGCTCGGGACATCCTCAAAAAATCGCGAAGATGGCCCAAGATGGCCTCCAAGTCCGCCCGAGATGGTCCAAGACGGCCTCCAAAACGGCCCAAGAGAGTCCAAGACGGCCCAAGACGGCCCAAGAGGCCCCCCAGAGGCCTCCCAGACGGCCCAATAGGCCTCCAAGA